ATGGCCTCTGCCAGCCCTGCTGCCTGGGAGGAAGCCGCCCTCCACCTCTCGCCCGGATCTCAGGCAGGTTAATTCCTCCCCGAGTGTCCCAGGTCCTTTCAGGCTGCTGCCCGGCGCTGGGCTCAGAGGGAGCGTCCGAGTGAGTCCGTGCCGGGCCCTTTAGAGGAGCTGCTGGGGCTCCCGCAGCCTCCGTGACCCTCAGGGACAGTCCCCGCTGGTTTCACAGCCCGGAGTTGTGGGGACGTCTCTTCCCGGGTCTGGAGCCCTGGGCTGGGGGCCTGATGTGGGGCTGGGACCCCTCACTCCTTCGGGAAACCCCCACCGCCGAGGTTCCCTCCGGGGTTTAAATTGCTGCACCGGGTGTGGGCCCGCGGCCGCGTCTCCCGGATTCAGCCCCGATCCTCCCACGTCTCCGCCCCTCCTACCGTCTCGGTGCTTCTTCAGCTCCCTGGCTGTGGGGCTTCTGTGCAGCCAGATCTCAGGAGGCTCTGAGTGATGGTGGTTCTGTGTTTTAGCTGTAATTTTGATGTGGTTGCGGGAGGCGGCGGGCGCTGCTGTTCCCTGCGCCGCCATCTTGTTTCTTCATCGCGAGTTTCAATATTTAAAGCAAGTGACTATTGTATAGTATCTCGTGGTTGATTTCTACTTAATCAATTAACCTGTGCTTTCCTCACATGCCTGGTGCCTACGAATCGGCTCTCTTGCATGCCCTCGTTGCTGTTTCCCTGTGCACAGATGGCCTCTCCCTGCACATACCTGTCTTTAGGCCTGCAGGCTTTTCCTAGCTAAGCTTTGTGCTCAGTCCATAAAGGGCAGGCTGGAAACTAGGGAGCTGAGGCCGCAGGCGCAGCCCTCTAGGATGATGGCTGGAAGCTGGTGCTTAAATCCCCCGCCTCCTCGCTCTCAGGCGGACCCTGTGCAGCGGGGTCCGCGGTCTGGCAGGGGCCAGCCGCCGAGCCCCAGGTGTGTACGCCCGCCCCTGCTCGGCCTCACTTCGCCGTCTTCCCACCTCTGCTTCCCGGGGTGAGCTCCCGGATGAACTATTTTCACTCAAGTCTTTGTCTCAGGGTCTACTTCTCTGTGAACCAAACATAAGACAGTAGCATTACGGTTGTTTGTTATCAGAGAAATCCAAGGTTACTAATGGCGTGTTTTGTTACAGGAAAATTGGACCAGCCTTTCTGCAGACAGTCGGCCCCAGCCAGATATATTAAGTGGTAGCTGTGTCTTTCAAAACAAATCCCCAAAGTAATAGAACTTGAGTTGGTTAAAAATCACGTGTGTTTTAATTTTATTACAGATGTGTTGATTGTCTTGAGATTGATTTACCTCCGTTCTGTTTTCTAAGTGAGCTGGTTTATAACCACTTGATCCACATAAATATCAAATAAACAAGCATCAGAGGCTGCTCTGTTAATGGAAAGTGGTTCAGAAACGATTGCCAGGCCATACAATTCATGAATCTAAAGAACTGATATGTAACAAACAGGAAACAAATTTCAAGTCCAATAATTTTAGCAGTATCTTCCTTGCTGAAATTAAAATTTTTTGGCAAGTCTTGGGAGAGTGTAGTCATTTTAAATTTATTTATAGTTTTCTTATGCTTTACAAATGAAGGTTGCCCTTTAAAAATTGGGGAAATAAATTCATGAAGGGCTATGATTTGCTTCTAATTTTTAAAAAGTTCAAAGTTTATGGAAAAGGCAGTATTTTGGACTCAAAAGAGCACTACTCTGTCAGCCAGGTGAGCTAAATTTCAACTTCAGGTGCAGTTAGTAAAAACACCCTGTGCTAGCCGTTCCCCTTTGTCACAAAATGGAATTATATATTTAATTTTTAGGTTATTTGTTTAACATTTGTTTCTACAGCTAAACTGTAGGCTTATGAAAGCAGGTAATGTTCCTGTCTGCCTTGTTTGACGTGTAAACTAATATGTTCTCAGCAAAGAGCAAGCACCCAATCACTATTTGTTGAGCAAATGAATAAATTACTTGCATAACATTAACAAGCTTCTTAATTTTTCTGAGCCTTGGTTTCCTCATCTGGTAACACAGAAGTTGGCCAAGGTGATCACTAAGCTCCATTCTAGTTCCAAAATTAGGTGATTCCATGTGTTTTATATTTTTATTGAGGTTTCACTGAAGTGTACAGTTTGATGAATTTTTATGTATGTATGTAGCCAAGTAAGCACTACCAGACTGACAGAGAGCATTTCCAGCACCCAATGTTTTCTTACGTCTCTGCCAGTTGACACCTCCCCCAAACTAATCACCATTCTGACCTATATAACCATAGATTTGTTTTGCTTATTTTTGAACTACATATAAATGGAAACATGCAGCGCACTATTTTTTGGTGTTTTTCTCCTCAACGTGTTGTCTGTGTGAGATTTACTCATGTTGGTACAAATAGTGAGAACTTGTTCTTTTACTTGCTGTGTATTATATTGTATAAATATGCCACTGCTTTTTATTAATTTGGCTAGAGTTTCCCCTCAATTTTGGCTAATACAAATAAAGCTGCTATAAACATTCTTGTGCATGCTTTTAGGTAGGTATATGCCATCTCCCTTGGGTTACTACCCAGGAGTGGAATTCCTGGTTCACAGGTACTCACACTTTTCTGGATTCTCCCAAAGAGGTTTCCTGTGGGGCAGTACTGATTTATCCTCTCTACTAGGAATATATGAGGAGTCCGGTGGCATCATGTTTGAGGCAGACACCAGCCTTCTAAAGGGGCTTGGTTTCCTGAGCATTATGAAATTATGGGAAACCTCACTGTCTTTCAGACTCCTTGGCTCCCCAGCTTCCTCTTGCAGTGTCAGAATTCAGCAAGAGTCCTTTGAGGGGGAGGGCTGGCCTCATTTTGGGTACTTCAAGTGTCCATTCAGAAGTCCATCTGACTGCCAGAATCCTTGCTGATTTCATTTTCCTTCAGTCTTCACCCCCAATTAGCCAAGACCCCCTCTCTTCCCTCTTATAAGAAAACAGTTGGTGACAGGAAAGACTTCTCTTAATCTGGAATTCCAGTTAATTTAGTTCCCATTGCAGCCATGTCACTCTGCTTTGTTTAAAATATGCTTTTTGTAATTTATTCACTCTTCTTTGTGTGTTTGTGTTTTTAATTTATTTTTTATTAAAGTATAATTGATATACAGTATTATATTAGTTTCAGGTGTACAACACAATGATTTGATATTTATATTCCTCATGGTGTGATCCCCACACAGAGTTTAGTAACCATCTGTCACTGTACAAAGTTATTACAATAATATTGGCTATATTCCTTTGCTGTACATTAATTACATCCCTGCAGCTTTTTTTATATATAACTAGAAGGCTGTACCTCTTATTGCCCTTCACCTTTTCTACCCATTCCTGTCCCCTCTGCTAACCATTCCTTTGTTTTTTGTATCTATGAATTTGTTTCTGTTTTGTTTTATTTATTTGTTTTATTTTATTTTTAGATTCCACATATAAGTGAAATCATACGGTATTTGTCTTTCTTATTTTGCTTAGATCCATCCATGTTGTTGTAAATGGCAAGATTTTATTCCTTTTTATGGCTGAGTATTATTCCAGTGTGTTTACGTGCGCGTGTGTGTGTACACATATACACACACATATGTACATAAAATTGTATTTTCTTTATCCATTGATCTATCGATGGAGATTTAGGTTGCTTCCACATCTTGGCTATTGTAAACGATGCTGCAGTGAACATGGGGGTGCGTATATCCTTTTGAATTAGTTTTTGTTTTCTTTGGATAAATATGCAGAAGTGGAATTGATGGGTCATATGGTAGCTCTATTTTTAATTTTTGGAGGGTCCTCCATAGTGTCTGCAGCAACTTACAACCCCAACAGTGAGTGCAGGAGGGCTCCCTTTTCTCTACATCCATGCCAACACTTGTTGTTTGTTGATTTCCCGATGACAGCCATTCTGACAGGTGTGACATGTGATCTCATTGTGGTTTTGATTTGTATTCATCTGATGATTAGTGATGTTGAACATATTTTCATATGTTTGTTGGTAATCTGTATGTCTTCTTTGGAGAAATGTCTTTTCAGGTCCTCTGATCCCTTTTTAATTGAATTGTTTTCTTTTTTTTGAATGTTAAGTTATTTCCACTCTTTCTTCTAGTTGCTGCAGTGGGAGGGTTGGGCTATATCCTTCTGAGAAGCAGAAATCCTCTGATTCTATGAATTATTAATCCAGACATGTTGGCACTAGTGATATCATACCAACTACAGATCACATTTATGATATTGGGATCAAATATGAGAACAAGAGCTCGATTTTCACTTTCAATTTCTTTAGAATCATACCAGTGGAGGCAAGATTGAGCACTTAGCCTGCTGAGGTGCTTTCTGATGTACACTGGTCCTCAGTGAGGAAGCTAGATAGGACTATAGTCCCTTAAAATTATGTGTGAGGTGGGTAAAAAAGGAATCCACCTCAGAGTTCACAACTCTTTTCATCTCGTCATTTTTGTCCAACTTTCTGCAAATATTTCTGTATCCATCTACAAAATTCTCTTTTCTACCTCTTCCAAGCTTCTGCCTCATCACCATCTCTCTCTCCTTTTTTTTGGTTTTGTTAATCCTCACCTGACAATACTTTTTCCATTGATTTTTACAGAGAGTGAAAGACAGGGAGGGAGGGAGAGAGAAAGAGAGAGAAACATCAATGTGAAAGAGACACGATTAGTTGCCTCCTGCACATTCCCAACTGGGCTGGGGATCAAACCTGCAACCCAGGTATGTGCTCTTTTTCCCCCCCAAGTTTCAAATATTTATTAATCAGTGTAAGCCCCAACACAATACAGCAACATGATTTCGTGCATTTGGGGGGGAAATATTTTGTGGTTAAGTGGAAAATTGTGCGGATGGCTTCTGGAAGACCTTCATTCTAAGCAGCTTTATAGTGACACATTTCATTTAGAAGTCTGGACGTTCCTTCTTCAGCTTGCTGTAATCTACATTCACGGAGCAGAACATGTATTGTTCATTGGGACCCAGTTTGTTCCAGAGTTCTGGGTTATTCTTTCTGTCCCAACAGACATCTGGATTGAACAGTGCCAGGCGCGTGACATACAGCACTGCCCCAGTACCTCCTGCTCCAGTAAATACAAAGAGGGAGATCAAGCTTGGATGCTTCTTGGCCTGACCGAGGATCTGGCGGAGCATGGTTGGGGCAGAGGGTCTGGACGCACAGAAAAACAAGACTGCACCCCTGGGCAGCAGGTGCTCAGTGCACGAGGACCCAGGTACATGCTCTTGACTGGGAGTCAAACTCGCGACTCTTCAGTACATGGGCTGATGCTCTAACCACTGAGTCACACTGGCCAGGGCTCATCACCACCTCTTAACACTTTTTAATCTAACTATGAAAGGAGAGGAGATGAGAAAGAGAGGAAAAAGACAGAAGGCTAAAATGAATCAGGAAAGGAGCAAGTTTTATGCTCAATGTGGAAATGTGCACATATGTGCATGTCCACATGAACACCCCTGCATCTGTGTGTGTGAGGGTGCATTGGTATCCTCAGTCCAAACATGTGAAATCAGTTCCTTTTTTTGTCCTGGTTCTAAATAAAAAGTAGTAGTCCTATTTTGTAACAACAATTCACATAAATATTAAACAGAAATAATTTGCATGTAAGTAGGTACTTTCACTTTCACTCTTGTTCAGAGACTGGAGCCCTGTGGCATCAGGAGAGTTAGACGTGGTCCAAAGACATAGGACCTGATTTCCTGAAAACTTGCCAGACTTCCAAAGAGAAGTCTTTCCTTTGAATTGAGTGAAAACTCAGAATCTTGCTATTATTTTAGAAAAACAGAACATAACAAAACCCCCACACAGCAAAAATACACTCTATCATCTTTGTAAAATAGTTTTTCTTTGGGGCTAGCTTAATATCCTAATTTGTTTGAACTTATTTTATTTTTATTAAAAATTATTAAAAATTAGAGTTTATGTTGAAATAATATGATTATTGAACTATGATAAATCACTCTGCTATTTGTTCAAAAGTAATTAGATCTGTGACCTTAAGCAAATGAATTTATCTTTCTGTTGCTTGTTTTCATTATTTCTGAGAGAGAGATTCATTAAGCCAGTTCCACTTATTATTGGTCGTGTTGGTGCTTGATTGGTGTCCAAATGTTGGTGCCGTTAAATTCAGTCCTGTGGGGATCCCAAGAACTAAATGAATGGAAAGCTCTTGAGGCAAGTGCATCCTTCATACTTGCTAGACATCAGTGCCAAGACCACTATGTGGGTCCTTAACTTGGTGAAACAGGCAGGATGAACATTTTTTTACCTAGACCAGTAGAAGGCTAAGTATCCTGCTGTACACCTGCTGTTTGTGTGTGTGTGTGTGCGCGTGTGTGCGCTTAAGCCCTCTTTCATTCTTTCTTGGCTTTCAAGGGTAGGGGTAAAACCTTGGCAAGGTCTTTTCATATCATCTGTATGAGAAGGTGAGAACCATCAAAAGGTTGGTCCGTGGAGAAAAGAATTCCAAGTAAATAAAATATTTCTCCAATGCAATTCTATCTATACCACCCATAAAAGCTACACCCAGTCTCTTAAAAGCTACATCCCATGGTTCATGATCTAGTTATGTATCTATGAGCATTTCCTTTTGTCCTTGATCCACAGGAATTCTTCAGGGTGAAAAGGAAATGCCTCACACTCCCTCTAGAGGGAAAATGTGCTACTACTCTTGCTTCTGGTTTATCCCTTAGCCTTCAGCTTTCAGGTCTTTTCATCTAAGTGCTCACATGATTTATAATAATTATAATAAAATAGCTACGAAATCCACGAGAGCAGTGACTGAGACTCGCTTGTCTGGCACAGAGTGGCTGCTCAATATATATGTTGTGGGTGAATAAACAAATTAACTAATAGAACCTTTAGGAAATTGATGAATTAGTATTTATTATGTATTGAAATCCATGGTTGGTTTCTTACATGCATGAAACAAATCCTTATCTTTCTATAAAGTGTGCATCACAGTATGCCCAGCTTTCTGTTTGGGAGATTGAGATGTAGAGAGGTTAAGTACCTTGTTCAAAGCCCTCCTAAGTAAATGGTGAGATCAGAATCTAAAGAAAAGCACCTTGCGATTTGCAAGTTGTGACCACAGCCTATTGTGAAGCCACGTGGTGGAGCAGGAAGCACTCTGGGCTCATCAGAAACAAGGTCCTACATCTTCCCTCCTCTTGGGTATCTGCGTGTCCTCACTTGTAAGTGTGGAGGGTGACAACCTTCTCCCTGTCTTTTTGCCAGATTATTGTCAGGATTAGATTTAGACTAACGTGATTATAAAATTTTTGAAATGCTACGTAAGTGGAGATGTGGGAGTTGGGAGTTTACACAGGGCAAACTCCTCTCGGCTGACTAACTGAGGAACCTGAGGGCCCCAGGAGCTGCAGGTGTCCCTGGAAGTCCTGGTCAGAGTCAAGGGCCCTGGGCGGAGCATGTGGGAAGGAGAGGAATCCCTTTGTTTCTTAGGGAGATTGGTAGATGCAGAATCTATTTGCTGTACAAGTACAGATTATAAATATTAATTGGCCTTAGAAGGTCTTGATCAATACTATAAAGTATTTTGCTAATAAGACTTAAAATGTATATTAGTAATTTAAATGTGATTAGAGGGTGTTTTTAGGTGCAGAATGATCCTGCCTGGTAAAGATTATTCCTTTTGTGCTGCATCTGGAACATATCTCAGTTTCCTTTCAAATATGGGATAAAGTTAAAAGGTTTCTCTCATCTAATTAAGGATGCAGGGTTACCTAACTGAATTATGAGGAGGAGCTGATCTCTCTCTACCTCCCTACCCCTGGTCCTCCTGCTTCTTTTTATAAGTGAATTAACATTCAATTGAAATCTAATGAATTATAGCCCATCAGGAGATCCACTTTAATAGCTTCTGGAACAAAATCTAATAGGAAAATAAGCGTAACAGAATCTCAGTTTGCCTTAAAGTTTAGTCTGAGATTAAGTTTTGAATCACTTTAACTTAATGTGTAAGTTCCAGAGTTCAAAACTATGATGTATTTTGATTTTAATTGTTTTTGTGTTATTTGGTAGAAATTTGACACATTTTTAAACTATGAGATTTACTTGTAGCAATAGTGATTATATTGTCTATAATAGTTTATAATTAACCATGGTAGGGTTATAAAATACTGGAACTGAAGGGGACTTTCAAAATAGTATTTCTCACAGTTCTGCAGAAGCCTAGTCTGTAAGATATTCTGGAAACAAAACAAAAATCCCTCTCTCTGTGCAATCAAGTTGAGAAACACTGCACACCATAGCTCACGCTCAGAAACTGAAAATGCACATGGACTTATTAAAGACTGAGAAGTTTGGTCATGAAACCTATTGATCTTTGTTTAACTATTTTTGTAGTATATTTCACCATGAACCTTTCCAGCCAAACAGCTATTAGTGACTTGTAGGGAAAATACTTTGGGATATTTAGTCCTAGGTCAAGTGACTTGCCCATAGCCACACAAACTCAAGCATTTTGATTCCCAATCTATTACAGCTAGCTAATATTCTTACGAAGGAAGGAAGGAAGGAAGGAAGGA